TTTGAATTATTTTGCAGTGATAAATTTACACGTGATAAGCCACTTTTTTGAGCCATAATTTGTGGTCAAGTTGCTTGTGATAAATAAGTTGATACCTCAGTGGGCTTTGCCTGATAAGATGGGGATGGTTTAGCTTTATTCGTATGTTTTTAGGCGATTTGTTTGCCTTTGTTGTACTTTGCACTCCTATCTTTTTTTATTTTTTATTGTTGGAACGTTCTTACCCACCCCCTACAGGACATCCGTGAAAAAGAGCTTCATAGCTCATCGGATTCCTCCAGTATCAAAAAAATATTCTGATTCTGAAGAATGAACCAGCATAATTCCAGTACTGGAGGGTGGTGTGTGGTTTTATTCGCATCTACATATAACTGTCTTGTTATAGTCCACATTTCATGAATTTAAAACTGACGCAGTCAGCTGCCCTGAATTGCATGTATGAACTAACAATGCACATGAGAAAAGGGACTGGGCAAGGAAATGCTCCCTCATGAGGCTACTGTCATCAACATTAGAAGACATTTGCATTTAATTGAATTCGAAAAAGGCAAAAACACAATTAGAGAAAGCGTGAACCCTGTTAGATTCGCTGTGGCGACCATCAATATGGCAGCCAATGGAAATGAGCAGAAGGAAATAACTAAAGAACTTAAACACCGAGGGCTCAGAGTGGGGCTACAGATGCACACAGTGAAAGCAAAACAAAAGTGCAGCTCACGAAATGAAAGAAAATAATGGTTGTACTCTTTGGTTCTTTAGGTAAAGTCACGTAGAAAGAAAATACATTAAATAATAGAATACGACGTTTCGATTGCAACACAAGCAATCGTCATCAGGTAGAAAAGAAACCCGTGAACTTAGAAATACAATGCAATCCAACAGAGAGTCCGCTAACCACCAGGTAAGTCATCACCTTACCTGGTGGTTACGTTCTTCCAAAGATTGCTAGATTTGAGAGACAGACAAAACACAGACACGGGGACACACATACAGACACAAGCAGAGAGGAACTACACAGAGACACAGAGACACACAACATAGACACACAGAGACCCAACGCCTCTGTGCCGAGGCCTTAAATAGAGAGAGAGGGGGGGGGGGGGAGAGGTGGGTCTGCTGGAGCAGAGAAATTAGCATGTCAATGAGAGAGCTGTGTGGAAATCCACCTCGCCACGGTCGGGGAGAAAAAGACCCAGCAAGCCTGGTAAACTGATTGGTCCACACCACTCTGGATGAAGAAGGGGGTGGAGAAAGTGCATTGTGATGTGTTTGTAGGCAGCTAAGACATTCATAGGAGGGTTGGTCCACTCTGGTGTGGACCAATCAGTTTCAAAGACAATGCATATACTATCAGAGTAAGTTTTTTGTTTGTATTCTGACCACAAGTATATGTGGTAATGCAGACATGATTCCTTGTAAAAGGTTTCAGTTTGGTGTTTTAACATCTTAACACCTGTTTTGTGGCCAGAAAAAAGGGAAAACCTATTCTCATATTTTGGTACCGGCAAAGGAGGTCCCATAATGTAGGCTGATATAAGAGGCTGACAGAAATGCAGCGCTCCAAATTGAGGCACTCTCCTGAGAGGATGACCACCACGGAGAAGAAGCGATGACATCATCTCATCAGGGACATAATGGATTTTGGTATCGCAAGGCCGTGAAGGATGACTGTGACACGGGGTGCTGTCATCCAGCAGTGGACTGTTCTCTAGTCTTGCGAATGACTTTTCAGGAGCTAAATGCGAATGTCGAGGTCTGCTGGCCATGATAGGTCTTCAGGAGAGAGTTTTAGGTTTTCTATTCCACCTTTGTTGAGGGAGCCCAGACTACAGGATTCACTTTATGGTCCATAGTCTGGGCTGCGTAGCCACAATCGCACGACTGTGGCTGGTCTTTGATTTTTTTTCATCCATAAAGGTGGTGTGCACAGTGGCCTGTTGATGTTCTGATGCGGTTGATGGTAACACCCACATCTTAGAGAAATGTCAAGGCCAAGCGTAGCAGTGTACTGTTCATGGCTGCTGATGATGGCGATGATGAAATGTCACCGCGTCGCGAGTTCCTGTAAAAAAACATAGCTGGGCATGTGCTTCACGAGGTCGCAAGAAGGGGGAAGGATATGAAGTAAAGTCTGTTCTCCTATAACGTTACGTGTTTTCATGACGCGAATTGGATACAACATGTTGAATGTATGAAGGAACACATTTTTTACAACACTGATGTGAATTGGATCTAACACGATTGAGCGAACAGAACTACGTCGCGCGAGTAGGAATACGCGGTCGTACGGCTGCCTCGGTGTAGCATCAAACAAAGCATTGGGATGCTGCTGGATGCTTCTAAATGCTACCCATGCACGTCAGTCCTTGTTCAGCCTGCGTACGAATCTCACATGTTATCGAGGAGTGTGCTTTACCCTATATTATATGCAGGGTGTTTAAAAATGATGGACCCGATTTGAAATCACTATATCTCTGCAACCACGAACCGCCCATGAATGAAACTCTTACCACTTGAAAGAGTGGGGGCATAGAGTTTCACTTGATTACCGCTAGATGCCTCTCCCAGCGCACAAACAGCCCCGAGCCTCAGTCATTCGCAAGACAACACTGCCTCAACGTTTGATAGGTCGCATGGGATCCCAAGACTTGGCGCTACACTCTTGGCCCCCAAGATCCCCAGACATCACCACACCCTGCGACTTTCTTGTGGGGATACGTCAAAGATCGTGTTTTTGTGCCACCATTAGCGACTAATCTGGATGACCTCAAAAACAGAATCACGGCAGCGGTGACTTCAGTGGAAGAAGACACTTTGAGAGGCGTTTGGGACGAATTCAACTATCGTCTCGATGTTGTCTGTACAGCAGGTGGAGGGCACATAGAGCATTTATAAAATGGTTAGTAAAACTTGATAACTCGTTAAACCGTTTGTAACTTTTTGTGTAATTGTAACATTTTGCCATCGTGAAATATACTACTTTGAAATTGGGTCCATCTTTTTAAACACCCTGTATTATTTATTATAACGAGATTTTCCATAACGCTGTGTTTTTCAGGAACTCAACTACCACCGCTTTCTAGGAGAAGAACAGACTCTGTGGTGAGTTGTGACTGAATGACATTTCATAGAGAAGAGGCAGGCAGCCACAGGATGCGGACGAGATGAGGAAGGTCTTGAGCCTGGACTTGAACAGATCAAGGGGGTTGGAAGCATGAGGGGCTGGGGTGTAGGGAGGAGGAGGGTTGTAGACACTCTGACTCTGTGTTTATGCGATCTCACCCATAAACCCAATTATTAATCAGAGGATATTGATTTGGGCCATGTTTACTTAATCAGAGGGAGCAAGGCTGTGGAAGTGGAGTCACTTTAAAGCAGCGTGAGGCATGGGGCAAGCTCATGGAGGATGTTTAAGACGATGAGGGTGATCTTGTTGCTGACTCGGAAATTGGGATCTACTGCAGATATCTTTATGCATTGTCTCTGTGTGGGCTCGTATATGTGTGCGAGGTTTGATTGTGGCATTTTGGATTATATGCACTTTGGAGAGTTATGGGAGTCAATGTGGAAAAATGCATTTATAAGTATCTGGGCAGCAGAATGGACAAAGTAGTGGATACAGGTTGAGGTTGAACGCCGTACAGAGTTGAGTGATTTGGCAGTAAAACATTTGAAGGGGGCACCCCCAGTGGCTGCTGTCCCTGTGGGCTCAAGATAACTCAGCACCTGACCTGCAAGTGGACATTAGTTTACCAGTAGGGGGCGATTATTGCTGCGGTGTGATCCCAATTGAGCAATTTGCGGTGTATTTTTGTTGTTAATCTGGCAAAGGTGGCCCATAACTCCCGGCACACAATGGCATAATCTTTTTTGTAATGACAGCGTGGAATATTGAACGTACACTGGTACAGCGTGCATATTAAACTTCTTTCGCACCGCGCATAGCCAACTGTAATCACCGCACTGGCCGCCAACTCGAGCTGTGAACCTCTGGAACAAGCAGCGAGCGAGCGCTGCCACTGGGCAGTATTGCAACCCTGAGAACATGAACTCATCGCCAGTCATGTTGCAGTTTAGGAGGTTCACATCTTGAGTCTTCATCGAGCGATTTAGATAACATTTAGCTGCCAAAGAGCACCTGAACCCATACGGGATGAGACTACATTAAGGCTGCATGTGGGAGCAGACAGAGAGGTGGTTGTATGTAGACAGGGATAGAGACCAAGAGAAAGAGCGATGAAGACATGGAGATCTAGAGGAAGAGGGTAATGCAGAGTAAACGGAGAGATGGGGAGGCAGAGAGGGCAGAGTGAGAGTGCAGGAGAAAGGGTGACTTGGGTGGTGCTCGGACAAGCCAGGAGGTAATGAGGGAGGTGGGGCCTGGGGACTCGGGGGTCACGTCGGGTCCCAGCATGTGTGTGTGTCGGCAAATGTGTCTGTGTGTTATAGAGAGCGGTAGTGTAGCGGCGACCCGAATTCAATTCCCGCTCACGGCCAACACCAGTGACGATTATTGGAACCAGTCCTGTGCCTCCCCTAGGTCGATTCGGCCCCAAATGAGTACCTGGTGTGGTGTTCAAACATCGCCACTGGGGAGACAAAGGGGAGTGGTGCTTGCCACCCACCCCCTCGTGTCCCGTACGGGCCATCATAGGTGCTCGCTAACAGTCTTTTAGGGTAATACGGGGGATATTTGTATGTGTATCAGTGAATGTCTTACACTGGAGTGGTGCACAGCACGGGAGTGTGAAGTGGTTCGTGTGGTGGTTTCTATGGTTGCAGTGTGATGCATGGTTTACAGTGCTGTGTGGTACATTTTGTATGTGGTGGTGTGTATTGTGGTGTGTGGTGTATGGGGCAGTATGTGGGTGACGTGGTGTGGGGGTGAGAGCACTGAGGTTGGTCGGGTTTGGGAGCACTGCGGTTGGTCGGGTGTGAGTGGGGGGGTGAACAGGGGGGTGAGCGTGTGTGAGTGGGGGGTGAGCGTGTGTGAGCGGGGGGTTTATAAGTCAGTGAGTGTCTGTAGTAGTTATGTTAGTGTGTGCGAGGACCTGGTAACCCCTCCACCTGGTACTACTTTTCATTAAATACCACGGTGGAAACGCCCAACTAAGCTTGTGGCGATTAGCATGGTCGGCTCCGTACGGTGCGAAAGAGGTTCAGCATACATGCGTGCTCGAGGCCCCAGAGGAACAGGCGTTTATGACGCCATCTGGCCAAACCCCATTTGGTGCAGCCAGACTGAACCCCTCCCCCACCCCCCCCCCTACTCGGGGTTCCTAAAGGAGACCACTGTGGTTGGCCGCATGGGATGTTCAAACTCTCGCTGCGGAGGAAAGACAGCCATTCTTCTATGGGGAGATGGACCGGTACCGCCTGGACCTCTGTGGAATTACAGGAGGTCCGGTGGACCCGCTCTGGCTACAGTCATTATGAGGGCTGGACAGTCCTCCACCCGCGGCAGGAAACTACCAAACAACAGGGAGTGGCATTGCTGACATACAACAGAATGAATGGGGTGTGGGAGCGTGGAGGCGAGGGGTGGGAAGCCGTAAGTCCCAGGCTGCTGTGGGCTCATTTCCCATGGTGGTTGTGATTTCTTATGCCCTCACCGACGATGAATATCACACATGGGCCAGATCAGCTCAGTACCAACAGTAGGAGGTTGTTATATTTCTGTACACCCCATGGGCTTGGAATTGCCAACATGCTGTTCCGGCATCGGCGCATCCACACAACATCATGGGTGCATGCGACGTCCAAGAAAGGACATTTGCTGCACTGTATAGTGATGGAACAGTGGATGCGGGCCCATGTCCTGATCTGCCCATTGAACACCGGCTTATCATCTGTACAATGTGCCTACCATTCTTCCACTGCGGTGGTGGACGTCCACCGAGTACTCTATTCAAATTCACAGTAGCTTGGTCTCAGCTAGTAAGCTCCTCCAGCAGGCAAGGATGCATTGGCTGGGTCACGTTGCCCACAAGTCCAGCCACCACATGCCCAAGGAACTTATGATGGGCCGGACAGAAGGAGCTAAATGTACGCGCGGCTTGGGTTGGAGAAGTGATGCACTGATGCGGTATGGGAGGATGTGGAGCTGAGAGGACTTGCAGAAAGCTGGTACCAGAGGTGTAACTGGGCAGTTGGAGGCAGTCACCCTCCAACAACAGTGGAGGGCAGAGGAGCGACGTTCACAACAATGAGCTGAGCGCCAGGCGGCTAAAATGCAGCAAGTTGGCACAGCAGGGGGCACAGGTGGTGCATCTGCCAGTCATTTGTCTACTCATGGCACCCGGGTCTATACTGTGACCTCTCAGCAAGCCTTCGACACTTCACGTGGCCTCATAGTGCACCTAGCCTGGTACAATCGCTGTGGTGACGTCACCACCACTTCGTGAAGAATGGCGGCTGTTGTGTCAATGGTTGTGTGCATGTCAGTGAATGTGAGAGCAGCAGTAGTGCGGTGGTTAGCACGCTGTACCATGAACCAAGCGACTTAAATTCCCGCTCATTGCCAACGAATATCTGAACCGGTCCTGGGCCTCCTCCAGGTCTACTCAGCCTCAAATGAGTACCTGGTGCGATGTGTAAACATCACCACAACAGGGACAGAGGCGGCTCTGCATGTGGTGCCGGCCACCAACCACATCGTGTGCCATGCCAGCCTTAATAGGTGCTCACTAACAGTATTTCCTCTAACAGTCTGTTTAAGCTATACCGGGTGGGGGTCTTTGTGTGTGGGGGTAGCTGTGCTAAGATCCCAGCGACCCAAGTTCAATAGCCAACAAGTGATGCATATCTGGATCTATTTTGGGCTTCCCCTAGATTGTTTCAGCCTTAAATGAGTACTGGGTGCCACAGTGTGTAAACAATACCACTGGAGAGACAGTGGGGTTGGCCACCCACCCCCTTGTGTGCAGTGCCGGCCTTCATAGGTGCTCGCTAACATCACTTTCCCCAACAGCCTGTTAATAAGGCTATATGGGGGGGTCTTTGTGTATCGTGTGTGTGTGTCAGCAACTATTAGAAGTCAAAAGTTTATTACACAGTGAAGCCAATTGAGCTGTACAGCTCTTTATGAAGGGCAACTTGGCCGGGGCCTGTAACGCGTTTTTACTCGCAAGGAGCCAATGAGACGACGATTCTGTTGCAGTGGAGACCTGGGAGAGATACCGGGCACAAGTCAACAATGTCAGTGGGCGTGAATGAAAGAATAAATTCTTCAAAACCATAAAAAAGCTTAAAATTCGAGAGTATAAAGCGTCACCTTTACCCTGCTAATTATACAATGCAATGCATCTGTGTGAAAACGCTCTTAAGTCGTTCTTGCGGTTTGCTTCAAAAGAAAACAAATATGGGTCTGATCCGCGTTGCGCTCCTTGTGTTCGGATCTGCTGGGGGTCTGTGTGTGTCACGTGCGTTTTGTGTGTAGGTGTATTGTATCCTTTGCCTTCCCAATGAAAACCACTTGCCTAGAATGGGGTGCGGCTGCATGGCCGGGTTGGGAGGGATCAACTAGAGGAAAAAAAAACCCTCTCGTGAGGCACTCCTTGTTAAACGAACGAAGTCACACTCGCGAGGTGATTGTTGACGAACGTGGTCGTGTGGAATAGATGATGATGAGCATGGTCCCTTCCCCCCCACGATGAGAAGAGGAGACGGCATTTTCGGAATCTCTTGGGCGCAGTAACGGTTTGATGGGGTTGATACGGCTAGTAACCGCGCGGCATTCGTGACTTGACGGTGCACGCCGTGTGGGAACACAAGTGGACCGCTGCAGGTGAGAATGTGCGAGCCGTTTGACAGGTTCTGTGTGTTTGGTAACAGACTCCTGCTGCTGCCCCGTGGCGCTGTGTCGTGCACACTGGAAGCTGTGCAAGAAAAAATTGCAGCCAGAGGGGATTTAGCGCTGTAAATTATTGTTTCACTCATTACTCAGGAAAGTTTCGATTTAAAGCTTTCGTGACTGCAAGGATTCATCTTCTTTGGTTCTTTCGGTAAAGAGAGTCTCAAGACTCTTTCACGAGGGTCCTGCCAAGTCTTTTTGCAATAGAGGACGATTTTTGCCATGTGAAATCCAATTACGCAATTTGCAGGTAATCGTCCAGTATTAAAGATGTTTGGCCAATACTACCAGTTACATTGTGTGGTTGGTTTAGCTTTGGGAGGAAAAGCGGAGATCCCAGAGTGTAAACCCTGCAGAAGAGGGGGAGAGAACACACCAACTGAACACAGATGGGCGCCCGAGTCGGGGATCAAACCCAGTCCCTTCTTGCTTGAGGCACGAGTGTCCCCACTACGCCACCCTGCCACCCTGATGTATTTATGTTGTCATATGTACAATACTTGAAAGTGCGGATTTGTGGCTCATAGTAACTTGTTAAGTTATGGCTCTAAACTCATAAATGCGTTAAATGTATGGTCTGTACTTTCCAGTCTAGCGTGTAAAGTCTTAATAACTCTGTTCATTCTGTCTGTACATATTAAAATTAACAGCTTTACCATTATATTCTTGGTTCTTTCGGTAAAGTCATGTAGAAGGGAATAGGAACATAGATGGACTCGTCCATCTGAACAAACTGTCAAATCGCTATCCGTGGTGCTAACGTTAAAAAACCGCCACTTTTTTCTAATTTTCTTGTTGTGGTTTTCACACCTGATGATGATTGTTTGTCTTGCAGTCGAAACGTCGTGATAATTTTATTGTTTTATATTTTTATTATTTTATTGTTTCCCTTCTACGTGACTTTACCGAAAGAACCAAGAATATGAATCCCTGCAGTCACGAAAGCTTTAAATCAAAAGCTTTACCATTACCAGATGTTGGTTCAGTGAAGGCCTTATTATCTTATATTCTTAGCTCTTTCGGTAAAGTCACGTTGAAGGGAAACAATAAAATATATATAAAACAATAAAAATTCTCACGACGTTTTGACCATAATACAAACGGTCGTCATCAGGTGTGTCGGTTTGCATGAATTAATTTATTTAAAAACGGTGTATTTATTTATAAAAAACGTTAGCGCCACGCGCAGCGATTTGGCAGTTTATTTAGAAGGACTAGTCCATCTATGTTCTGAAAAGAGGAGGGGGGGAGACGAAAAATTAATGTATGGTGTCTGAAAGCCACTGTAAGCGTGAACAATCAATTAAGACCTGAAATGGTTAATCAAATCTTTCCAATGATTGCTAAGCCAGAATCCATCTTCTCGGTTGAAATTGTCTCTGTGCTTGTATATGTGGATAGCCTCATGAACGAATCTCTCATGGTAGCCAGATGGCTTACAAAGAACCTCTGTCTTGGAAAAGTCAATGTCATGTGAGCCTACTGAATTATAACAATGATCTGCCACGGTCGAGGTGTTGGTCCTACCGTGTTTAAGGTCCGTTTCAACACATTACATAAAATCCGTGATCTGGTTCCGTCTGTTAAAGATGTGATTCCGGACATACAGTGCCCTGGTGTCTACAAACTAAGTTGCCTCTGTGGTAGTAGTTACATTGGAGAAACCAAACGCCATGTCTCGGACCGCATTCGTGAACACAAAGCAGACCTGTGCTTGTATATGTGGAGGCTATCCACATATACAAGCACAGAGACAATTTCAACCGAGAAGATGGATTCTGGCTTAGCAATCATTGGAAAGATTTGATTAACCATTTCAGGTCTTAATTGATTGTTCATGCTTACAGTGGCTTTCAGACAGCATACATTAATTTTTCGTCTCCCCCCTCCTCTTTTCAGAACATAGATGGACTAGTCCTTCTAAATAAACTGCCAAATCGCTGCGCGTGGCGCTGACGTTTTTTTTTGTAAATAAATAAATACACCGTTTAAAAATAAATTAATGCAAACCGACACACCTAATGACGACCGTTTGCGTTATGGTCGAAACGTCGTGAGAATTTTTATTGTTTTATATATATTATTATTTTATTGTTTCCCTTCAACGTGACTTTACCGAAAGAGCTAAGAATATGAATTACTGCAGTGACGAAAGCTTTAAATCAAAGCCTTATTATCTGTTATATGGATGTACTGTTTTACAAATCCTCTTATTCACAACTAGCGGGAAGTACCCGGCGTTGCCCGGGGGAAAAATATATTTAAAAACTTATCAAAACTTAAAAACATAACATATACAAATGAAAAGAAAACTTTGATCATTATCTCATTAATTAAAATTAAAATAAAACCTAACGCGCGGAAAAAAAACTTTCGCTCGCGCGCCAAGATTCGATTCTTTAAATCGCGCAATAAATCGAATGGTGTAGATTTCTTTAGAATCGGCCTATTCCCGTTTAATCGATACCACAAACGCTCACCAGATATCGATTATCGCCAGTCCTGTATGCGGGTTGACGCCACACACTTAATGGTCATTTCCCCCCCCCCCCCCCCAAAATACCAAAGCCAATTTTTATACGTTTTGCATTGTGTACAGTCTGGAAGCTACCCACATGCCAAATTTCAAGTTTGTTGCATGTCGGGAAGTATGCTCAACATTTCGAACAGACACATAATCACAAATTTCCCTTTTTTATATATATAGATGTAGTTGAGAAATCATACTGCTATCCAAGTGGGCCGCTCCACATAACGAAGATAATAGGAGTTCAATTTTGACTTAACTTTCGTGACTGCAGGAATTAATATTCTTTGGTTCTTTCGGTAAAGTTATGCAGATAGAAAATAAAAATAAAGTGAATAAAAAATAATATAAAAAACAAAAAAAACACCAATGTAGACTGTAGCCTGGTTCTTAATCAGCGTGAGTGTACTGGCAGTCTATAATGTAGAATGTAGCCTGGTTATTAAGTTTGGTGAGTGTACCGGCAGTCCATAATATAGACTATAGCCTGGTTCTTAACCTGAGGGAGCGTACTGGGAGTCTAATGTAGACTTATTATTGGTTATTTCTGTAATAAAAATAAATAAAAATGAAAAACAAAACCACGACCGAAAGAAACAAGAATAAGTCTGAATTATAGACTGCCAGTACACTCACTCAGGTTAAGAACCAGGCTACAGCCTACATTATAGACTGCCAGTACATTAACTCAGTTTAATAACCATTGCTACAGTCTACATTATAGACTGCCAGTACACTCACTCAGGTTAAGAACCAGGCTACAGCCTACATTATAGACTGCCAGTACGCTCACTCAGTTTAATAACCATTGCTACAGTCTACATTATATACTGCCAGTACACTCACTCCGATTAAGAACCAGGCTACAGTTTACATTAGTGTTTTTGTTTTTATTTTTTCAATATATATTTTTATTATTTTTATTCATCTTTTTTGGTTCTTTCGGTAAAGTCACGTAGAATGAGAATAAAATAATAAAATAAAAATAAGACACTGTCGTCCCGATAGTTCTGTTCTTTCACCTGAAGAAGCCCGCTTGTGTTGTGGCCGAAACGTCGTGAGAATTTTATTGTCTTATTCTTATTTTATTATTTTATTCTCATTCTACGTGACTTTACCGAACGAACCAAAGAAGATGATTCCCTGCAGTCACGAAAGCTTTACATCGATATTTTTATTCACTTTATTTTTTATTATTAATTTCTATCTACTTGACTTTACCGAAAGAACCAAAGAATGTAACAGGAGTTATTTGCCCACGCTTCCATCAACGGGCATCATCATAATCATCACCACCGGGCATCATCATCACAACCCTGGATGAATCTTAGACGTTAGGCAGTCGTTACACAATTCTTATGAGACATGAAGCAACCTGTGGATAACTGCCATTGTTAGCCGTGCTGGTTTGTTTGCTTGTTTTATGCTCCTCACAAACACTTATAGCTCAAGTAATGTGCTGTCACTTCCAGGTCGCTCCTCTTTACCGTAAAACGCCCACGTGTAATAGGGAGGGACGATCCCGGTGTAGATGAGGGGAGGAATGATAGGCATCCTATCTGTCAGATCCTATAGCAAGATCCTATAGGGACACCTTGAGCCTCCCAACTCTCAATAATGGTCTTCAGGCGCCCCAGTGTGGCCACAGGTGTCTGCCGTGTGCACAATTATTGATTTTGTTTTCAGACGATTTCGGTTTTCGGAGCCGGAGAGCGCATGGATGTGATTGGGAGACTGGTGGGCCAGCGGTCTGCGTGGCTGTGTCGTGTCGAACAAGAGCTCTCCTGTCTGTCAGCGCTGTCCAAATGCTTTGCATTGAGGGCCAGATTGAATGATGTGGTATGAGCCAGGGCCTGATGTACAGTCACCCCTTTGGGGACGCACTGTATTCATGCACAGTTGAGAAACGTTGATGTGTGATGGCTTTTTCTCGCACCAAAAAGTAGATTGAGTATTTTTCTACTGCATGACATTGGGACTGCTTTTATAGTGAACGATTCTCAATATTGCAGTGCAAGCGTTCGCTTGAGAATGTTCACTGGCTCGCAAACCCAGTCCCCTCTCCAATGTATTTTTGGGAGCATCACCGTCAGGTGCAAGCAAAGTCACCGTTATTAAGTGGGATTTGCCAGTTGTGAAATAGTGTCAGCTTTGCGTTGTGCCCAATGCGGTGCAGGCGCAGGGCCTTATATGCGTCCAACTTTTGTGGGCTGTGCTGGGCCAGGGTGTTGCCACTTCACGGTCTCTCGAGACGACAGCAGCAGCAGCAATGTTTCCCCCCCCCCCCCATTGTGCATTAGCCGTGCTGCCCTACCTCGTGGCTAAAATGTAAGCACATGTGCTGCTGTGTTAAGGAGTGGTTGTTGTGGGCTATGAATGCCTTCCAGTGATAAGCAAACCACGTCCT